GTTCCTCCTAGTGATGAGAGGTCTGATTCATTTATCGGGACTCGGTTCTTTTGAACTGTTCATTTTAGTGAACCGATTCAAAAGCGAATTTAGTCATTCAGTAACGTGATCCCTGACCTACCACGCTCCGGTAAAGCCATCTTTAGGCACATATTGCTGTTTATAACGTGCGTTTATAAAACCGTCATACAATTTAATGTGCAAACAAATTAAGTATTATGATTTTTGTTCTCTCCAAACGCTCTTGCTCGCTCATCGAGACAGTTCTCGGTTCAATGATTCAGTGAGCTACACTAAAAAGATCCGACTCAAAAGATCGATTCGCTTTACGAGTCGGACGTAGCTCGAGTCGACATGGCAGATGAAGCCACTAGGAAGGCAGTTTCTGAAATTCCGCTTTTAAAAACAAATTCAGGACCACGAGACAAAGAACTGTGGGTTCAGAGACTTCGAGAAGAATATTTAGCTCTCATAAATGTGAGTTATTGTATTGTAGCAAAAGTATTAGGGAGCTACTATGCTAGCTGTATGAATGAATAACCATACGTGTCATAGTTAAAAGTGTTCAGTCTTTTTTGACGCTGACAGCCCATCATCAGTATTGTTTGTCATTAACAGTTAGCGTACAAAACCACACATAAACTTCATATAACAAAATATGTACGCTTCTTACAGTAATTGTGTTGTCTTGTAGTATGTTGAAAATAACAAAGCCGCTGACAATGATTGGCTCCGTCTAGAGTCCAACAAAGAGGGCACAAGGTCAGTATTTTATTGCTAGTTCTTCTATTTAGTAGTAATTATATGTTCATTAATGTCTTAAGAGTTGTATAAATACGTCTTTCTTTGTAGGTGGTTTGGAAAATGCTGGTATATTCACGAGCTTCTCAAATATGAATTTGACATGGAATTTGATGTATGACATTTTGAATCCACTAACATTAATATTCACTAATAACTTCATTTGATGTTTTGTCAAAGTCCAGAGTAATTGTTTTGATCCTAATGTCCAGATTCCAGTTACATATCCTGCCACAGCACCTGAAGTGGCCATTCCTGAGTTAGATGGGAAGACAGCGAAGATGTACAGGTTCGCTCCATATGTCAATAGTTTTTTAATTTTTCATCACAATTTAATATTTAGTTATAATGTATCACTTTTTTAAATAGTGTACCTTGTTGTTCAAAACCATTTTTTGTCACAGAGGTGGAAAAATCTGCCTGACAGATCACTTCAAGCCACTGTGGGCAAGGAATGTCCCAAAGTTTGGTCTGGCTCACCTTATGGCTTTGGGAGTGAGTTATGTTACATGTCTAAAGTGAAATGTATTATGTCATACATTTCCAAAAAATAATTTGCTGCTTTGAAGTTACTGCATTTCAAATTAATAACTAATCTCTGTTCTTTTCTAAGCTTGGACCATGGCTTGCAGTTGAGATTCCAGACCTCATTGCGAAAGGCATAATTGAACATAAAGACCAGCAAAACAGCTGAAAACAGTAGCAGCCTTTGCATTTCACTGTCTGTCTTACTGATGCAAACACAAATGACACTTTTAACAACAGTGGCTTGCTTTCCCTGTGTTTTCAATTTTTTGTTTGCAACCTCACAGAAAATGTGTACTTCACATTCACATTTCTACATCTGTTTTTTTTTTTTACTGTAGATCATAGTTTGTTCAATATTTGCAAGGTTTATAATACCTGTCCAATGGGTTATGTATGTTTTTCATCAGTAAAGCTTGGTACCTAAATGTGGGACCGTTTTATTTGTAGGAATTGGGTGAACCTCATGAGGATTTAAAATTAAAAGTTCAAAAGTATGCAAAATTATTTATTTTCTCAGCTGGAAATGTTTCTTTAACAGCTTTTCTTAAATGATGTATATAAGAAAAATAATCATTTAAAATGATTAATTGTGAAATAGATTTCCATTGGTTTCTAATTTGTAAATTAATTAAATCTAACGTGTCTTATAAATCTCAGTGACAGAAAGTTACCGGGCCTCAGAGCAATTGCTCCAGAGTGTTAATTAAGGCAATATTTTGTGATTTTTATAAATAACTATAACTCTATAATTACATATTATGTCATGTATCTGTACTTAAGTTGTTTTTCTTTAAATAAGAATAAAATAAAATTACAGATGTTCTTAAAGACATTTAAAAGCTAATAATAATTTATTATAATATAAAACATATTATTTGCGCAGTCAAAACAGTTTGGTGACAAGAATCTGGTTACTCCGTCTCCCAAGCTGAATGCTGGAATATATTATGAAATCAAATCTGTTTTGTTCTTGGTGTGAACGGGACTAAATCTTAATAATTAATAGTCACTGACAGTAAAAAAAAAGTAGGCTAACATTATGCTATTATGAAATATACCCGTATGCCTATAAAAAGCAACTAGTCATAGCAAACATTCCTACAGGTCCTAGATTTGTATTTTTAGCAAATGTAATCCTCATTACTTCTGCATATGAAATAAGATCAGGAGTATTTCTATTCATATAGAGTACTGAATTGACTCAGGTGACCGGCTCTTTTTATTGTCTGCAATACTGAATGTTTAAAACATGCGTGATTGATCGAAAAAATATATTTGAAAACAGTCATGCACTCATATACATTTCAATTTTAAACATAACATCAAATATGGTGGCACATATCAGCAGAAAAAAGAATTTGTCAGAGCATAATTGTCAAAGATAATTGTGTGACTGAGAACTAAGCAATCATATATACACAGATAAAGTAGCTTTCATTTCAACCTCAAACATCAGGCATTAACACATGTCAACAAGCCAGTCCAACAACCTAAAGAGCGTCCTGAATGATGCATCTGTCCTGATTTCCTGAGAAGTTCCTTAACCCTACTGACTGCACTTGTGTTTGGTCAGGAGAGCGCAGATAGTCTCTCCACACCCCCAGCATGGCTGTACAATATGAGCAGGCCCTAGTTTCAACTTACACACTGTACAAGTACCTGAGGTGTTTGAATTTGATGGCCCTTTCTTGTTTTGAGAAATGAGCTGTTTGAGTTCATTCAAGATGGTCGTGTTGGGTGCAAGAGCAATATCTTGAGACCTCGATATGCTTTGGGTCATAGACGCAGTCCTCCTCTAGACCACTAGGCACAGCTTTCATGCCACAGTTAGGCGGTACCCAGGCCGTGTCATAGCCCTGACTATGCCATGCCTTCTGTAGAGGATGGTTGTCCTTATCAATTCTTTTGACTTTTCCACAGTCAACGCTTAATTTAAGCACAACTCTGTCAGTAGGTAGGGATTTCAGAGGATAGCGCTCTGCTTTCTTCTGGTCACGGCTCACATAAACGCCAGGTCCCAGCATCCCATCTGCTGATTGTTGGAAGCCTTTTGTTATGATCAGACGAGCTTTTTGCAAAGAGGTGCCGTGATACATGGTATAGAGTCTGCCTGATTTGGGTGCCTGGTCTGCCTGAAGATGACGATCTTCATCATAGAATGCTTCCCAGCCATAGAATGGGATGGATGCCATCCTTTTCCTTGGTATTTCCTGTGGATTAAATGTAATAAGAATAACACACTACCAGGAAATGTTTGGATCTGCTCAAACTTTATTCATATTTGACATATTTTTGAATCCTAGTCCAGTCAACAAAACTATGAAATACCACAAATGAAAGTGTGAAAATGTATGTTAATGACTAAAAATATTAAACGAATCAAAACTATATTTTTGCTTTTTCAAAGTAACCAACTTGTGTTTCAATTACAGCTAACCGCTCTAACGTGAAATTTGACTGTTCTAAAGAAATTAATTTTACTTTGGTAAGGACAATTATTTCTAATTTCATTAATCATCATTTCACAAATCATTTATGCCAAACATCACAACATTTTAAAACTGAAACATAAATTCAGTAAAGTTGCACTGTCAGTCCTTTAGGTGACATTTGTTGTTTAGATTAAGCTTTGAAGTTTGAACTGAATACGCCAGAACTTCCGCTGTATAGTTCGGGTAAAATATGACATTTAAATTTTTATCGATATATCGATTAAGATAGGCCGATATTATTCTAAAGGAAAACCTTACATTGTTCTGAAGTAAACAAACGTACCTTAAAATACTCCTCGCAAGTGAACAAGAAACGACATGAAACTCCGCGTCTAAACTTTCTTTTTTACTTATACTTTGAGAGCCAACCTTTCACTTTCAATTTCTTCTTAAACGCGTCTTCCTGTTGTGCTGATGGAGTAAAAAATATATATTTATATGATAAATTAAAATAGTGTTTCTTAAATCCAGTAATCAAGGGATGTCAGAGACTGTAGTTCAGCATGCATTTGTTTAATTCTTCAAAGCTCTCACACTATTTTAAAGGTAAAATAATGTGATATGTCAATCAAACAGTGTAGACCCACCTTCTTTTGATAGAATACACTTCATTGGCCAGAAGCGCTCTTACGCATAAACGTGGTGACCAGTAGTGTTGCCATGTCCGCGAATTATAAACGACTTCGGTTGTTGTTAAGAGGTCAGTCACTAATAATAGCAGTTTCCCAACTACCTCCACTACACCAATGATTAATGCCAATAAATGTAGATGTATTCACGAGTCACTGATTCATGTTTTAGATGACCAATAGCTGTAAATCTTTGAAAACTATACAATATTTCAGGGTGATATTCTGAGTTGTCTCTTCGCGTCCTCTTCAAGACATTATAATGATCTCAGTTAAACTCTATATTTCATGTTTATTTATTTCGCAAGAAACCATTAAATCAGATTTTATTGTAAATCGATTTTAATTCCAACACTTATTTTACGGCAAGACGCTTATTTTTCTAGTAAGATCTGGCATCACAGCCGCTGCGTGCTAACGAGGGAAACTGGAACGTGGACAGTGCATGAATATTTTGGCTCTAAAATATTACATCTGTTTTGAAAATGTACACAGTGCTGCTGGTAGAAAATTTCTCGTCGTAATATCTTTATTGTATCTTTTTTTTTTCTCTCCGGTCTTTCTTTTTTTACCGGACTGCTTTTATTACTGTCTTAGGACAAACTGCAGTCGAGCGCATAGTAACGGGTTGTTTACGGTTGTTTTCCGCTGTGCGGCATTCCCCGGGGAACGAAACTTCACTGCTGCTGCACGCCAGCTTATGAAACTGCACCTCTCTCTTTCTCAGTTACACTTTGTCACTTAAAACCTGCTCTTAAAACCACCTCTGGGCTTCAAGTGTTCAAGACATTATAATGATCTCAGTTAAACTCTATATTTCATGTTTATTTATTTCGCAAGAAACCATTAAATCAGATTTTATTGTTAATTCGATTTTAATTCCAACACTTATTTTACGGCAAGACGCTTGTTTTTCTAGTAAGATCTGGCATCACAGCCGCTGCGTGCTAACGAGGGAAACTGGAACGTGGACAGTGCATGAATATTTTGGCTCTAAAATATTACATCTGTTTTGAAAATGTACACAGTGCTGCTGGTAGAAAATTTCTCGTCGTAATATCTTTATTGTATCTTTTTTTTTTCTCTCCGGTCTTTCTTTTTTTACCGGACTGCTTTTATTACTGTCTTAGGACAAACTGCAGTCGAGCGCATAGTAACGGGTTGTTTACGGTTGTTTTCCGCTGTGCGGCATTCCCCAGGGAACGAAACTTCACTGCTGCTGCACGCCAGCTTATGAAACTGCACCTCTCTCTTTCTCAGTTACACTTTGTCACTTAAAACCTGCTCTTAAAACCACCTCTGGGCTTCAAGTGTCGCGTTAGCTCCGAAACGTCGGCGTTACAAGCTGTGGTATTTATTTTAATTCGCTTCAAGCCGTATCGCGACAGATGTCAGAGCGTCATGCGGTCTAGTGTTAATGCCGTACTGTGTCCTGCCAGGCTTTCCACGCTCAGTTCCAGCTCGGTAGTCGAAGGGACGCTGTAACCCTTGGTTAAAATGTATGGAAAAGTTTTGTTCTCCTACTAATGTGACAGCTTGCTGGGTTGTTTACTTGAGATTTTCTGGAAATGTCCAAGACACGCGAGGTGCTACTTGTAGGGGAAGGCAACTTCTCTTTCTCGGCAGCTTTGAGCGAGAGCGACGACGTCGGGGTGACCGCCGCTTGCTTTCAAAGCGAGAATCAAATGTATAGACAGGAGGGAGCCGTACTGAACATACAGCGACTCCGTGACAGAGGTCGGTCGTTTTGTGATTCTTCATTCTGATCATGTTGTCTTGCATGGATGTTTTTACTCTTGCGGTGCTTTCTTGTGTCTTTGTTGTCCTGTTTTCATGATATCTGAAAGCTATCTCATCGATTCCAACCTACCCATAGTTTAGTATCTGCTAATGTAAGCATTTTCAAGGAGACCTATTCTTCCCACACATCAAGTGTCATAGCCCTGAATTTGCATGCCTGCAGCCAGCCAAATTTACACATTTGGTTGCTATGAAACTGCCAGGGAGGGTTAAAAGCTTCATTGAATTCTGTATGATAATTCTGTGGAGGCCTTGATTTCAATACAAACTCCCATTGCAGGATCAGTCGTTCTCTTTGAGGTGGATTGCACAAGCCTAAAGGAGCACGGAACCATTAAGCATCATCTTTTTGACTGCATTATCTTCAATTTCCCTCACTGTGGGCGTAAAAGTGGCGTAAAGAAGAACCGCATTCTGCTGGAGAAATTTTTCCAAAGGTAAGTGTGACACTCTTGTGGCAACAAGGTCTTTATTATGGTGTTACATAAACTTGACTTCCAGTGTTGTGTAATGTTAATACTGAGGGGATCAAGAGTTTCAAGGTCTTTTGGTGCTTTGTACATGTGTGATGTGTGATGGATGGATTTTTTTTTTCTAGTGCCGTTGCAGTCCTGAAGGACAATGGGGAAGTGCACGTCACCTTGTGCAATGGCCAAGGCGGCACTCCGTGTGACAGTCCAATGAGAGAATGGCACAATAGTTGGCAGGTGGTTGCCATGGCAGCAGAAGCAGGGCTAATTCTCAGTGAAATCCATCCCTTTGACTGTGAAACGTATCAAGGTTACAGATGTACTGGTTACAGGTAAACAGCTGTGGACACAGTCCACAACAGTGTGATTTAACATGGTGTTTAATTGGACTTAAAGAACTTTTAATGGTCCTGTTACAGTTATGTAATGGCATTCAGTTTCGAATTCATCAAATAAAATTATTTTGCGAAGGAGTCAAGACAAAGGTTTCCATGTAGAGGGAGCTCTGACCCACATCTTCACTCGGAGTCTCCCGCACACCATACCAGAAAAACTGAAAATGGAGAAAACCATTGGGAAGGAGACCGTTTGCTTTGAGCTTCCGGCAGAGTTGAGTAATTATATGAACAGGTAAGTGGTAACTTGTTGCTGACTGGAAAATAGCCAACCTGAAGTCTCTTTATAAGAAACACTTTATCCAAAAAGGAAAACTGTGACATTTAATCACCATTATGTTGTTTTGAAGCTGTGGAAACAAAAGATTATTTTTTTTTAAGTATCATAGAAGTGTTTAAATGCAACTTGTGTGCTACGTATAATAACGTGGCGAGCTTCATGGGCTACAAAAGTTGCATTGACTATGCAAATATGAGTCAGCATCACTGTTCTCGCATGTCTTGTGACCACATGTCAAGCGTGCCATATTTGATTGAAGATCTACAGCAGAGGGGAAGATTATTAGTGAATAACAACTTCCATATTGGTCTGTTCCTCACATATAGCTATATTATGGCCCCAAAAGACTTGGAATGTAGCAGACAAGTCATATGAACTATTTTTATGTTGCTTTTTTGCTAGGATTGTGTGAAATGTACCATATTGTAATTGACCAATGTTAGATATTTTATTATTTAGCTGTCTTGGTTGTACAGAATATTTAATTGCTCTTCTTCTTTTTTTTTGTTTTTTGTAAATGTTATCTTTTTAGCTATATTTATCTAATTTCTATCTATTAGAATCAATATCCCATTTTCATACCCATTTTATGTATGTTATAATGCTGTGATACAATTCACTGCCAGCCTAGCAGCCTGGACACTTTTTCACAGAAGTCATACGGCTTTGGAACAGCATGAGGGCAAATTAATGATTACAAGTAGGGGTGTGCGATATTGACAAAAAATAATATCTCGATATTTTCTGGGATTTTATCGATGACGATAATTAGACGATATTTTGCTGAGTGTGTTATTGTGCTGTTACCTTAAGGACTGCCGAAGACAGCTGACTCATAGACTGAATCATGCAGTGAAAGAACGCACTCTAAATGCGCACATGCGCTAGTCTAGACTTCATGTAATGTATGCGTGTGCTCTGTAGGGATGTTTTGAATGGTTTTTGCAAAATACTCGATAATGTCAAATCGCACATCGTTAAAACAACAATTACGATATTATCGCAGACGATATATATCGCACACCCCTAATTACAAGATATCCAGTTTTGCATGAACTGTTCCAATAAAGTAACGAACATTCAAAAACAAGACATAGCTGCATGATCATGACATTTATTTATCATTTATATGCTCACAGCAAACACTTCCTCGATCCCTTGTTCTCTGTAAATGGTGGCATTGTAAAGTTATGTCTTATCTGTTATCAGTCTTGTAATATATTATACAAAAAAGATGGGCTTACACATACAATACTTTTGTCAGTATTTGCGTATGCATCATGTATTTAATTTAGTGGATTTTTTATACATTATACAGTATATTTGATGCAAAATTCTAACCTTTCTTTCTGTGTTAGACATTTCCTTGGTCAGCAGTCACATCATCCAGTGAAAACTGTCCAGGAGCAGTTACTTAGAGAGCTAAAGTCAATCTGGCCTGTGTGCACTATGAATGAAGACTTCTCAGAACTGGTAAGCTGCCTACCAGAAACGCCAGAGGCATGTGACTCCACTCTGACCCACTCAGACGTCTACTGGATCAAACCTACTGACACCTTTATATTTGACCAAAGCGAAAATGAGTCTATGGATGACCAACAAAGCTTTACTGGCAGCTATGCACTACGGCCATCTCTGTTGCTGCATGTCCAAGAGATCACCCAGAATGAGGACTTCAGCCCTGGTACTCTTCACGCAGTCAGTGGCCTGGTCTTTCAGAGAGTGCCCATCTCCCCGAGCCGTTCTCCTGCATTCCACCAGCTTCTGTTGGTGGGAATGTTCCCTGCAGAATCCCATCCTGTCCAGTGCTTCCAAGATTGTTTGGAGTCACTTCTTGCTTCTTATGGCATCTCCTTCGAAGAGGCGCAAACAGGCCTAGAGCAGCAAGTGTGGATGAATTCAAAGATGCTTTCCAAGTTTGGGCGGATCGCATATCTACCTTCTTTTTCCTCAGCCCTCGATGAAGATTTGCAGTTAATCACTGTCTCGATAAACTTGGATCATTTAGCTACCCTGATTTTCGGCATTTCTGACTGGCGCTTACTTTGGAGCTTCGATCCTCGCTTTCTTAAGCATTTCGAGCTCAATCCACTTGGATCTTTCAGTCCGTTCTCCCTTTACCCACCAAGCTACTTGCATGATATCAGTTTCTGGATGGAACCAGAAAGCTATGATGAACTAGACTTCCACGAACTTGTGCGAGAGCTTTCTTGCGGTGCTGTTAAGGATGTGGCATTAGTCGATCGCTTCAGACACCCACACATGGGTCATGCAAGCCTCTGCTATAGGCTGACATATCAGTCACCAGATTGGGCCCTCTCACACAGCCAGGCATTGGGACTACAGAATCAGCTGCGGAGGCTGTTACCCCTGCGCCTGCAGGTCATGCTGAGGTGATTGAAGAGACTTCAGCGACAATGGATCAAATGGATGAATAATCTCAGATTTAAGTTTTTAAGGATGAGGGTTAACTTTATAGATCAGAAGAGTGAGTCTGTGTATTTGGACTGATTTGTTCTGCAGTTTTTTTTATAAATAAAGAAAAGAGAGGTTAAATTTTAGCAAATACAATGGTTGTTATTCCCATTTATTTAAAACTGACATATCAAACTATTTGAACTAAAGGGATTTTTTGTTGCTGTGTTTGAAATCCTATCATGTTTACATTTAGCTTATTATGGTAATTGATCAAAATTTGACATTATAAAATATTGTGGGTTTAAGATATAAGATATCAAAGAAATGTTTACAAATTTCAGTAGTACTATTACTTTTCCTTGTTGTTTAGTACTTTGCAATGGGGAAAGAAAATGAAAATAATTATTGCAAATTGCATTCTCTGCTATATTAATTTATTATGCATGTTTAGGGACCTCTTTCAGTTAAGATGTAATTAACTGCAAGTCATTTCATCTGTTGCAAAAAATTAACTTAAATATTTTGTCTTTGTTTGGCACGTGTTTACATTATCTCTAAAGCTGCATTTGATACTGTGATATTTCTGGAGTGTCTATGATTATGTTTATGATCATTTGTGACTGTAAATTGTTATATTGCTATATTATTAGACTGAAGGGTGAAGGGTGTCATTTCTCAAACAAATGGAATTGCAAAAATAATGGCTGTTGTCACACAGATTACCTGAAAATGAACCCGTTTGGTCAAACAGTGTTGGACTGGTTGGGATGCTCAAACTGCTGGTATATCCTGCTGATTAAGTCCCAAAAAGGTAAACATTTGATCCCGTGTCTTTTCTGAACCTGAAAAGACTGGCTTGAATCCCATATATAGATAAATGATAAGAATTACATTTACAAAATGTTATATTTTGGACCAGGGGACCAAACTCAGTCCTGGAGGGCCAGTGTCCTGCAGAGTTTAGCTCCAACCCTAATCAAACACACCTGAACCAGCTAATCAAGGTCTTATTAGGTAAACTTGAAACTTCTAGGCAGGTGTGTTGAGGCAAGTTGAGCTAAACTCTGCAAGACAGTGGCCCTCTAGGACCGAGTTTGGTAACCCCTGTCTTAGACTCGTCATAGCACGTATCTAAAAACAAGTGCACGCCAGGTGCTGAGTCCAACAATTGCAAATGTAACATTCAAAATGGTAAACACGTGTTTACAAAAATCTTTACATTTTTAGGAAAGCAGGAAAATGTTTATTCTTAAATCGTAAGAATCTAATATAAATGTTAAAGAAATGTCATCATGCCACATGTAGCTGTTTAGATTTAATAAATTTAGGTCCATTTGCTAATATGCAAAACCACAATAACACACACAAACATATTATGATAATAGTGCAATTATGTCTAAATGAACTGGTTTCGTTCAAGTCATAAATAGCATTTAATATGACTAAGCCAAAAATACATTATACCAACTAATCAACACAAACTAATCTTCATGGGTTAAATCAGGTAGAAAATTAACAATTGCAGGTTACTGCTTTACCCTGTATCATCATAGTCTATGAATATTCAAATAATTCAATACCATGTTATTGCCATACCATCATTGTACCATAGTACAATGGTGCAAGGAGGTTGATAACATAATATTATTTCAATAATATAACAATACTTGTATTAATCATTAACGATATTAGTTGTTCAGTTGGCTTTAATATTACCTAAATGTACTGAAGGAGAGTAAATGAGAAAAGTGTGTTATGAAATGTATGTATATTAAAACAGTTGTAGTAAATGTACTTTGCAAATTCAGTAAGAGAAAAAAATCAGTTAGCAGCAGGGTTATTACAGTTAACTACAAAAACAATTTCGTTTCAAATGACCAAAGCAGCATTTCTCGTTTTCATTTAAACTTGATGTACTACAATAACAAAAACAAAAAAAAACTGAAATAGAAATTAATACAAAAACAAAAAAAAAAACTAAAAACAATAACTAATAAAAATTACAACAATAAAATTACTAAAACTTTAAAATGTACATTTACATTTAGTCATTTAGCAGACGCTTTTATCCAAAGCGACTTACAAATGAGGACAATAGAAGCAGTCAAAACTAACAAAAGAGCAACAATATATAAGTGCAAATGACAAGTCTCGGTTAGCCTAACACAGTACACGTAGCAAGGTGTATATATATATATATATTATACATATACACACACACATACACACACAAACAAAGAAAAACAAGTAGATAGAAGAAATAGAAAGCTAGTGTTTGTTTGGTTTTTGTTGTTTTAAAAAATAAAATAAATATATATAAAGTAGAATTAAAATAGAATAGAAAGTGCTAGAGTTAGAGGGTCAAATAAAGGTGGAACAGATGTGTTTTTAGTCGTTTCTTGAAGATGG